TTCTTACAGTATAATAAGAGTTTTCAAGGGCAGAAAATAAATTAGGTGACTAAGGGATTAGGGTAAGTCGATAGCAATAACCTTTAACAACTCAGGGGTTGATTGTTTTTTTCAATATTATAATAACATTGTATAGTATTGTTAGTTTCATAAAGAATAATGACGTATATGAATGTATACATATGTGAATAAAATTTTTTTATAATCTAATAAAATATCTACTCAAAATTGTTGATAAAAAAACAATATTTTGTTTGATTATAAAAGAAATTAACCTTGATAGAAATAAATGTTTTACCTATCAAATGTGTTTTATTCTAAATAAAATAAGTATTGAATTAATAATTCAAACATAAATTATAATCAAACATTATATCATAATCAATCATCATCGTTGTAATACTATATAGGTAATACGTAAATATAACTACATCAAGGTTAAATAATAAAAAATATTTAAGTATTTTACATTTTATCAATATTAATTTCAAAAATAGTAAGACATTTTTTTTTAGTCAGTGTTTACAATCTATAGTATTTTGTATACTTGTATCAGTTGTATCTAATAATAAAAAAATCATAATATCTACTATCTAGTGTCTTTTAACAATTTTAAATGTATTTTGAATCTAGATATTTTTTCTAAATATATCTTGCCCGTTCTTATCGATTTCGAGCTTCAGCTCTGGTATATTATTTAATATGTATAATATTAATAAGACCAAAAAAAAAAAAAAAAAGAATTGGTCTGGTCATTTTTGTGAATCTTTATTGCATTTATATAATTTAGCGTACAATAAAATATTTTTTTATCAAGGTATTCGATGTTCTGCTTGAGTACTTTACGTTTATACTTTATTTCAAGTTACATATTTATGCGTGTGTATGAATGCAATATTTTGTATACCTATGTAAGTTTAATTTAATATATTTTTATACATGCAATAACCATTTATATAAAGCATAGACATTGTACCTTGTAGATTCTTCGTGCTTTGTTGCCGTATAGCCTATAGGTATATTATGTATTATTCGAACCACTTAGAATTCCAGTTTAATTGTTTGAGTGTATATACATACCTAGTTCAATACATACTATAAGTATATATGTATATCTATACTTCAATACGTCAAACTCAAACTCGGTAGCAGAGGTTTGAGTGTTTATATAATTTTTTTATTATTATTAATTATGTTAATTATAATTTATCAATAATTATTTTTCAGCGAAGAGCTTCCAATAAATATATTTAATGACATTAATTAAATTAATCGATAATATACCCATTACGCGATCCTTTATTTTTTATTTCATAAAGTAATTGACTATATCATAAAACAAAATATGTTTAATACGGCGTGATTCACATTAAATGTTATTTAGCTTTTACAAATTATAATTAATCTCGAAATATATGAACCAAGTGTGTATAAAAACTTTGTCGTTTAAAGTTTAAACACAAATCATTAATAGGTCTACAGGTCTACCTATACTTGAAAATAATCATTAACACTTTTTTTTTATCAATATTAATAAATAGTTAATTAAATTATATTTGTTCTTGTATAGTACCTACATATTAAATACCACATGCTATATTATTCACTAACTGTGAAATGATTTTTTTTTTTATTTATGGAAATTAAACACTATATATAGGTAGGTTGCTAATTACTTATGTTTTATATATATATGTTTAATTTTACCTTTTAATAAGTACTCATAAATAAACTATATTAATAAATGTGTGTCTGAAATAGATAGCCAGTAATTTATTATAATAATTATTAATAATATCTAACAATAAATGATAATTAAAATATATAAAGCTTATAAATCATATAAAGGTATATGTATACTGCAGAAAAATTAAAATGCTATTACATCGACCACATTTTTGTATCTATTTATCACCTATATTAGTTTTAAGAATATATAACTTAAATATACTTATAATGTTTTTATATTAGAATTTTGTTATATAACTTAATTATAATATACATACCTGTATTCAATTAAAATATAATTTTTATTAAATGAAAAGTCTTAGGCAATGAAAGAAAATTGTTTTGTTCACTTCCTTAATTATATTATACCTTCTTTATACACGTATATGCTTAACATATTATATAATGCAGTTTTTATCTCGTGAATATATATATATATATATAAAGTGTGAAGTGTACATAAGTTATATAAATACCTGGTGATCAATTTAACGTAAAATACTGCAGTCATTAGATATATGTTCTTTAAGTATCTTACGGTATGGATCACCCCCTATATATTATACCCGCCACGAAGTGTATATATGATTGTATAATCGATTAAATCGTATAGGTACACAGTTTAGTATATATTATATAATCAATAATCATGTATACTCATATGTATGCATTGTCGATTTAAAAAAGTTATTAAATTTGCTTTTTTTGTCCGTGACTTTATTGCATTAAATTACAATAATTCGAAAAAAACAAACATTTTTTATTTGTATAAGGTTGTCCTTTTTTTCCAGGGCCTTTATTATAATATTTTAGCTACCCAATAATAATTGGATTCAAATCAAAGCACGAGGTTCGTATGTACACAATAATGTACATTTTTTTCGCCACCAGCAGTTGTTGGGGTCGATTGGTTTTTTATTGTACACATATTTTGTGCCTTATTAAATCGTGTTACCCCTCCAGCCGTGTGCGTTAAAACGATCGTCCGGGTTTCGGGAGCGTGCAGCGCCGTAATAATAATAATACACACACACATAATAATATACACTATATATAGAGGGCACTGTCATGGCGTCGGGGGCGCGGTCCTCCGCCTGTCGTGGTTCCGCCTATTTTCGCTCGTCATATATTATGCGGTTCTCTTGTGTTTTATTATATACATATTATTATATATTCGTATAGGCATTCATAGTGCTGCATAACGCTACTGTTTACTCATTAACAACTATATATACATCCATTATACGCGTGTATGTGTGTATATATTATTGTACATAGGTATAGCTGCTTCCGACTTGAGGATATGCGCAGAACACACAAGACGCGTATCTACCTAAACGATTTTCTTGTTTCCCGCTGAAGAACTCAACGCTATGTATAATATATTTGGACGACGGTGGCAGGAAAATCGCAATTATATTTACAGAGGACCAAATCATATCACATTATACATTGTTTATTATATATATGTATAGGTATGTTTACTATTTTCATATTTTATGTTTATTTCGTATACAATCACGTAGATATTATTATACATCACATTTTACAGAAAAAAAAAAATAATAATTATTATTATTATTATACAGAAGTTTAGTAATTTTTATACAAGGTATAAATACAGCATATTTTATATAATATAACATTACATTTAATGGGGTCGTGCAAATGACAAGAAATTTCCACATAATATAAACAAACAGCATACCGATATATATTACACATAATCGGATCTATTTTAATTAAAAACATGGAATTAATATAAGAACTCGTAAGTTAATGCGAGTGTGTATAATATAATATTATGTTTATAATGTCAAATTAACATGATAATATACAATATATATATTATAAGGGAGAGGTAAACAAACATAAATTGTAACATACATTTCAACACACTTCTATGATATATACCATAAACCAACGTACCATATTATATATATTATATTTATGTACAATATACCTATGTTATTTTGATAATTTAATTTTAGACAATACTATTAATATAAATAAAAATAAATGACAAATATGACGACCTTTGATGATAATGATTTAAATCAACTAACACTCATGATATAATATACGCTTATTATTTTTTAATTATACATAAATTATACCGACATTGAAATATATCTTTGCATATTGTAACATAAGTATATGATACATACATATATTTATATAAACATAGGACATTGACATGGTTTTCTTAGCTTTTAACATGATTCGTTTGATAATTATATTTAATTACACAACAGTTTATACATTGTAAATATTTTAATATTAAACTTTGACTTAGTATAGATACTTATAGCCTATAGGTATACATATAGGTACATATTAGACCATAAATATAGTTGATAAAAAGTCTTACACACATTTCAATTCAACCATTTCAGTGATTTTAAATTTACACAAAAACTGTTTAATAAAATTTCAGGTAAGTTAGATATTATTAAGTTTATTCAACAGTCTATTTTCTTTGTATAATATTAACACCTATACTTACAAAACGTTTAACCATAGGATATACAACTAAGAATGGTATTTAAAATGCTTTTAAAATTGAGGTTTATATATAACTACATAAGTATACATAAATATTTTATATATACTTGAAACTTATTAATAAATAAATAGATAAAATTATTTTATGTACCTACAAAAAAATATTAAAGTGAAACTATCACGGGCCAATCAAATTAGTGTACACATATTCTCATAAGTATATAAGAGACTGAAAACGATAAAAACAAATTCATACTATTTTACATAAAATAATATTGCCTTTTTTGAATGAGGCTATATTATATTTTATCCTACAGAATAGTACAGAAAATTGAAGTACCTATGTATAGTGTATGTCATCTATACAAAAATAATTAGTTTATTGCGATTCACAATAATTTACAAAAGTTTCAAAATACTTTATACATCGATAAGTATATACGTGACTTGGAGGTAGGACGTTCAGATTTTAAAATATTAAAAAAAAAAAAAATACTAAAACGCATAGAACAAATAAAACTTAATTGACTTAGAGAGTCCAAAATAAAATAAAATAAAAAAAAGGTTTATACATGCTTATATATAACGGGCCTAAGTTATATCCTACGCATATAATACAAGAATTTTTCCTAATATCTCACTATATAATTGCATTTTTTCAAATATTTTATGCTTAAAATTGTCTATATTTTTAAATTCAAACATAGTTTTTTTATGTGGTTGTGTGTATATATATATAGATATATCAAAATATATATATTCACATGAAAAAGTTCATATTGAAACAAAACAAAATGAAATTATTTTTTTTTGAAAATCTACATTAAATATAATGCTCGTCTATTAATAAGATAGGTAATTATATAACGGGCCATAGCTCACCATGCTCGTCCTTGAATGGATAAATAGGACATGTTTTGCTGTTGATGGTGATGTTGGCTGACGTTCTGTCTTGGGTATGGCATCGCGGTGTTGGTGAGCAACTGATGTTGCGGCGGTTGGTGCTGTTGCTGGTGGTGCCCGACATTAGGCGACCCGTGATGGTGATGGTGACCGTGGTGATGGTGGTGGACGGGGACGGGTACGTGGCCACCGTGATGCATAGCGGGGCTGTGGCCGTTGCAGTTATTGCCGCCGGGCGCGGGCTGTTGGCCGGACGCGTCTGACGTACCCGAACACGGTTTGCCGTCTTTCACTAAAACGGGCACGGCCACACGTCGTGGTGAACTCTGAGCCTGCGAATTAGAGTAAACTCAATAAGACTTAACGCGCGATAGGTACTTATTATCTAATAGGGGTATTAAACGATTTTCACTTAAATATAAGCCATAAGGATAATGGGATAAACATCTGAATTTAAGTACCTATTATAAATTATGATAGTTATTTTAAAATTTAATTAATTAAAATTGGTATTGTAAGCAGTTACTTTTTGCCGTTCAAACAAAAAACACTTTATCTTGCAGTGTTCTTAGCTAAATAAATATTTTAATTTTTAATAATAAATTACACGCGGTTTTCTTTAAGAATGTCTTACCTGATTTTGCGCATTTTGTTCGGCCATAGCTTTTTCTTTCGCCTGACGTTTACACTTGTATCTATGATTCTGGAACCATATTTTCACCTGCAAAAAATATGATTTTATATACTTATCTAAATGTATAAAAACCGTATTATCATATTTTATTTATATATCATTAGGTATAGATGACTACAGATAGCTACGTATATAGGTATATATATGATATACGAAGACACGAATTACTGTTATAATTACTATACTCTCTTCATTCAGGACGATAATTGACGTATAGGTCTTATTATGTTTATAACACAATCAATTGTAAAAATAAAACAATTCATGATTGCCTACATTTGTACGAAATGTACTTGCATGTATAAATAAGGTCTATGCGCGCGCGATCGGGTGTACGTCTTATATTATCGCGTTATCGGTCGTCGAGAATCATGATTTCAATTAATATTACGCATATTATACCTACGCGTATTATTGACTGTGTTGGATAAACGCATAATTGTTATTATCGCATTATTACATTGTCAAAGGCGAAGTGAAAAGTATATAAACAGAAACGAATCCAACTGAGCATTTATACATAAGTTGCTGTTGAAAGTCAAAAGATGACCAACATTAATATTGACAGTAAATGGGAACGAAGTGGAAATAAAGTTGAAGAGGTGTTTTTAAAAGTGCTCGCGAACCGAGTGCACTCTACGTGGCTTTTGGATAACGGTTTAAAGACTAACTCTTTTGACCGAACGAACGGGATTCGCCGCCGCCGTGCATACTTGAAGCCGCCGCCGCTGCTACGAGTATCTGCGAATAATTCCAACATAAATTCACTTCACTTTTCAAAAGTGCTCGGCTTCTACTCGGCTACTTGTCCGTATAAACGATACGAGCGTACGCCATTCACGCAGATTTTTACGTCTGTACCGCCGCCTCTGCCGCCGACAGTTGTATAAATGGTCCTTGTTTTTTTATCATGTGTGCATTATACGAGTAGGTACACAAATGACATACGTAATATTATATTAGGCGTATAGGTACGTATATGCATATCGTAGTGTGTATTATCATTGCATTACCCGCCGTTCGATGATTATATTGAGACAATGATGATACCTACCGATACTAATTACTATCATGATACATGTCAACGAGGTTTTTAAATATTCAACACAAGAGTACTAATTATGCGTATTATATATCATTATTATAAATACTTTTGTTGTCTCACTGCTTCAATAGGTACGTGCTCGACGCGTGAATTACCACCGTACTAGTGATATCGTAGTAATTAATGTGTCATGATGACATTGAAATTGAGCGCAAATCATAATAATTAAATAGTATTCAGCAAAGACTAACGATAATGAAATTATATAAGTTTATATATAGCTATTATATAGGCTTTCAAGTGTATAATTTTATGAATGAACCATTCGATGCGATAGATTTGGTATTTTAAAACTCGCAAAACAGTACAATTACATAAAATATCGTCGTACAATCTATCAATTTTGTTCTGAATATCGAATGCTCGTAATCACCAGCCAGAAAACTTTGAATATCTTATGCTTTGATATAATTTATATCGAAACAATAATAATTACTAAAACGTCAGTACTAAGTTAATTTTGTATTTTTAATTAACAAGAACTCAAATCAAGTTTATTTTATCTTATATTATTGTATAAAACAACACATATTTTATTGTCCTGATATTAACCGAATATAAGAAATCGTATAAATATTCCAACTTTCACTCATAATAAGAAAGCATACCAATCAAGTACAACATTAAACACATACAATTGATGAATTGTAGGATGACTCGGAAAACGTAGACACTATATTAAATGTAACAACGTTACGACGATATACTAAAATTATAAACGATTGAGTGGAAAATTATAGAAGTAAAAATTATAAGTAAATAAAAAGTTCTATGTTTACGAAACATCAACCATCGAGTGAACGTTCTCGTCATCGTCTTTGGACGCAATATGCAATAATAACTATATATACACTTTATTATTTATATAACCTTATATAGTAACGTCGGTAACGGGTAGTATAAATAATATATTTAGAACCAATATTACTTTGGGAAATAGGAAATACTAAACAGTGCGTATCAGCTGAGTTACATAGGAATGTAGGCTCTGCAAATTATTGTACAAATCATAAAATATCAAAATAAAAGTATATTTTTTAATCTTAAAAATATCTTCTACTACTATTTATAACGCAAATATAGATGCTAGGGGATAAGTCCCTTTAAACATTGATCAGATATAAGTACATGACGTGAAACTATACACCGAGAGAAACAAATTTCTCAAATTCCATTATAATAACCAATAGTTTTCCCCCACAATTGTGAAGTTTAAGGTGTATCCAATACGCGGTGGAAGACACGAGAAACCAAAACTAGATGAGGAAAAATTAATCGTATCTTATAAAAGCACTAAAATCCCAAATACCTGTGCACTTCACTTTAAATATCAACTTAGAACAGTATCGTTCAAAAACGTTAAACGTAAGTATATTTTTAATCGACAAATTTATTATCTTATTACGATTGAGCGTCAGAGATAATATTACCTATATTGTTAGTTTTTAGTAGCAATGATTATATTTTCATACATGCTGTAGTCTGAGTTAGTATCAAATATTTAGTGAACACTTATGTAAACCATACCCTATAGTGACAATACATTTTACATACGTAAACGATTACGAATTAAATAGATTTATGCATTTTGTTTAATAAACAAAAGTATAGATTTTTATGATTATATTTACTATAAAGTCGATTTTAAATGTTTTGAAATTTATAAAATATTTATACTGGCGAAAATCGCTTTTTTTTAAATCTTTGGTTTAGCACTTATGTCATACGTACTACCTCAAAAAGGCGTTAAAAACATCGATATCCTACCGTTGAGCGATTGGCAAACACTCCCCGCAGGATTAATGTATAAATACATTTATTTTTGGACCTTTAGCGTCTTATTGACTCGTTCGCGGGTTAATGGACTCAAATACTCTGGTACCGAAGCGAGTCCATAATCATCGGCGACTGCTGAACGTCATGTTCACGGAATACGCGCGTAAGTGCAAGCGGCGACTTACCGATGGTTTACCGACGTGTTTACCGAACGAAAACCGGTACAAAAAAAAAAAAAAATAAACATCGTTTCAAAAGAAAATAGGAAATTGGCCTAACCGTAATGCTGTAACGATAATAATATATAATTTATTTTATGAAGCGTACGCGTAACGCTTGTACCCAGTGTAAAATATATAATAACATAATGACAATATAAATAATAATAATAATAATAGTATATACAGTACCTATTGGTAATATAAACACAAAAAAAAATTTATTATCATTGTATTTCGTCGTATATAGTACGGACGTAGCTCTCGACCGACATTTCGGCGTGCTGTGCAGCGGATAGGAGGAGGTAGGGAGACCGACGAGCGTATTATTATTATTATTATAAGTCCCGCGTGCGCCGAAAAAGCGTTTCGTTGGTGAGGGGGGGGGCGCTCAAAAACCTAAACAGTAGTCGCTGCGATTATATATTATAAAATATATAATACATACATATTATTATTATTTATATGTGTGTGTGTGTGTGTGTGCGATGTGTATGGTTCGCGGGGTCTTCGCCGCAACATCTGGCGCCCCGGCGGCTCCGCGCGTATATACCAGGCACAATCTGTCGGCCATTGTTCTGTGCCGCCACCGCGCACCGGGTATATGCGTGTATACCGATCATCATCTCAAGTGGTGCCACCGCCGCGCGCACATATACACTCGCCACTTCAGACGTACGTTTTTCGGAGGGCTCGCCGCGATGAATACGCTTTTGTGCCCCCCCCCCCCCCCCCCCCCCCATCGAGCATACGCTGCGGCAGTGGCGGCACTATTCTATGCGTCGCGTACATCGTGTGCGCGCGTGTGCTTATATATATATATATATATATATGTATACATGTATCCGCATATAACATTGTATAATAATAAATTTTAGCGACCGCTGATAAATGCGATTAAGCTGCGAGGAGCAAAAAATACATTTAACCCCCGGTGACGCGATGACGGGTGATGGCGGCGGAGGCGGCGGTGGGTGCGACGGTGGTGATGCTCTCCGTAAGCGCGTACAATGTATATAGTAGGTATATGCGAGCGGAGCTACGCCGACGACGGGTGGCGCACAGAGAAAACCGGCGCGACTAGAGAGACGATAATAATAATAATAATAATAATAATAATACGCGCTGCAGCGGTCCCCTGACGGCATCATCATCATCGTGTGATTGTTTAATATAATATTATGTACGCGGCGCGCGACGAGAGACCGGTACGGCGGCGGCGGTGTGGTGGCGGTACTGACGCACGCGTAACCCCGGAAAATGTTTAAGCCTCATTAACCGCACGCTGCATCCCGAACGTTTAAGCCGGGTTTCAATAATAGGGCGTAGTTCATCGGTTGAGCCGCGATAATCTCGCCGCGCCCGCCATCCGAAATCTTATGCGCACGTCGTGTTATTATTGTTGTGTTTATCATATTATTATTGTCTACTACATATTATTACGAGAGGCTCGCGATTTACGCCGCCGCCGTATTATACTCGCAGTGCCAAAACACGGTGTCGTCGTTATTATATCGTCGGACAAATATGATATCTCACGATTTCGTTTTGTATTTCGAAATAAAAAAAAAATGGGGGGGGGAGGAAACACTATATAATGCGCGACGAATAATGTGTGCAGTATTCTACGAGGATATGCGCGTTGTACGTAGTACCTATCAGTTATCCGTCATATTGCGCGTAGGTACACGGGCGTATAACTCTTTTTGTCTGTCGAGTCGTGTGCCTACTTTATCGCGTTCCGACGAACCGACCGTCGTAACCACGAGGTATCGTTCACTAACCAACAACCACGATGATCTACGAGGGAATTTCCTGAGTTTAGCCGCACTCGTGCGGACTTCACTAAATCGAACAAAAATGTTCTTAAATAATATCCCATACCACACTGTAGTGTATCCGTCCCGTTATGGTCGTGGGACGTGAAACGGCGCGCAAACATTATTAGACGTATAATAATAAGTATTCAGCGAGTATCCTGCATATTATTAAACGAGAACGCCAACAGTAGTCCCATGTTTTCACCTATTATTTCGTATACACGTGAACGAGTGCGTTATTACCGCCCCTATTTGTTCCAATACCGATTCAAGGGAATCGCGCTGTTTCAACTCATCGTGTTATTATGTAAAACATCAAGTGGCTCATTAATCAATCGAAAATTTAAATAGTACGAATCGCGATAAAATATATTATTTACCATGTATATTTCCTTTTTTTATATTCTGCACACCGGCCGAAATAATAATGATATCGATTTTACGTGCAAATGTTCTAATTCAACTCATTGACCCTTTTATCCAAAAATATCGTTATTCGTTAATACTATTTATTATATAATATCCAGAACTTTGACACATGCATGGTTTGACCCTCTTATCCACCATACCCTGCAGGTTTATTCCTCTCGCATTATATATTATCCTGAAAATAATTTTATGTATTTATATTATACTACTATATAGTATATATACCTACACAAAAATATAACTAACACTTCAATAATAAATTATAAATGAAAATACAGAAACCGTGGATATTAAAATGTATGATCTATAGAATATACACGATATAATATAAGCTAGTTTGCTACCTTATAGAACAGTATAACGGCGTATTATATCGTCTTTATCATACATCCAAGTACGACGATAAATCTAAACGATTAAATGTTAAATACAGCCAGTATAGGTCGTAATTTTGTTTACTATATATATATATATATATATATATATATGTATTATATATAGTTAAGAAGACGTTTTTAATATTTTATAGGACCTGTCTGTTTTTTTACTAAGAGTTTAGAATAAAATAATTTAATATTTTTAAAGTAACACTACACTTGCTTGGAAATGTGTTTTTGATAATTTTACAGTTATTATATTTCACTTAAAAACTTTATAAGTTCTGCTGAAATCGAAAAAAAATGTATGTTTGATGTTCAATTTTAGTCTGTTGAATTTACAGTCCATAAAGTAATAGCGATGCTGTAATACTATAAAAATTTTGTATAGCTATTATCGTATAAACCCAAAAATATATTTACATTAAACTTAATGTCACTGTTGTGGTCAGGTGGTCTATATATAGTTTTATTTATAATACGTAGATAAGTTATATAGTATGCAAATTATATAAATAAATAATACACCTAAGAATTGTGGTTTTTTATCTCCAGTATAAAATGTATATAAGTAATTATTATTGTGTTAAATATTATTTATTAAGCCTAAACAAAATCTCAGGTTTTTCAAAACTTAAAACATTTTGTTATTGTCAATTATAAAAATTAAATTTAAATTGGATCGAAAATATACCTACTGCATATATAATGTACTTGTTAATGGCCTTGATGACAGAGCGAAAAACAATAAAAAATGAATTTAGTAATAAATTATACTATTGAGCCATTATTGATTCTTATACGAATTACGCTCCAGAAAATTCAGTTTAAATAACAACTTTAAACTTAAAAGCTAATTTATTGACTTTTATAGTTACTAATTAATATTATTATTACATCAAAATATACTGTAAGAGGTAATTTTAAAATAACAAATATAAATTTTAAATATTTTTGATAAACGAAATACATTTAATCAGAAACAATGTAATTGAGTACTTCAAAATTATCTTATCAATAATTTTTAAATTTAATGTTTGTTGATAAACATAACGTTTAGACTAATATCATAATAATATTTTTTTAATAATAAAGTTAGACTTACAAAAGAACTTAAATCATTTAAATTTTATGATTTTTTTTATATATATACTCATTATTCTTATATCCCAATATTGAATCTGATTAATGTTTCTGTAAATTAAATTATTCTTAACTATAAAATAAATAGATTTGTTATTTACCTGTGTGGGAGTCAAATGAATTAAACTCGCCAAATGTTCTCGTTCAGGTGCTGATAAATATTTTTGTTGCTTGAACCTCCGTTCTAGTTCATAAACCTGTAAAAATAATAATACAATAACTATAAATTATAATATAGGTTATTTTATCTCTTCCAAGATAAAGCATATAGAATAACTAGGATTTAACATCGATTTTGAAAAAATAATAAATACATACACAAGCCAAAGCCTAAAGGGGATGGATATTTGGAAATGTACAAATGGGATGGATGTGTTCGTGTCAAAACGATGCCTTCGTGGATTTGACGTGACGCCTGATTGTGTTTACATTTATACAAGAAATGTGGGTTTTGAGACAGTTTAAGTGCGCTGTAAACATCTATGAACTTGAATAGTAAATATAGTTTTGGGTTTCAAAATAGGTTCGCACATAAAAATAACGAGTATATATATTATTTAATACACATGCATTGGTATGAGAACTCAAATTAAAAATATAAAATTAAAATAATCTTTATATAGAATGGAATGTTAGATAAATGTTTTATTTTGTATAGGTACGGCTTCACATTAAAATAAAAAAAATAAATAAATAGAGTGCGAGTTTAAAAATAATAAAAGATTGTAAATTATATATTTTATATGTTTTGACTAGCTGTATTTAGTTGTAGATTCATTGACATAAACCTAATCACACATTTAATATTCATTAAATCATTCTTACCGATGTACCTAATAAGTAAAGAATTCGTTAATATATTTTATCTGAGTTAAAAGACTTAATTCTTTTACAATTAGGTTCAAATAAAAATCCGTAAAAAAAATTTATATAGAATTGAAACGTATTCAAAATTACACAATTGTACCTATAAAGAATAATAAATATATTTAGAGATAAAGAGAGAGTTTTACGTACTTGAGCCTGAGTGAACAACACTCTCCGCTTTCGTCTCTGGGTAAGTGGAAACTGTAGAGGTGGTTTGATATCGCATTCCATGTTTGTCATACCATTCATCGGGGTGTTTGACGAGCCCATCAATCTTGATACTGCAATAACATACGATCGTTATTAAATTTGAATTTTTGGCATGGTATAATAAAGGTCAACGACTTTTCAGCCTAAAAACAGCGCTCATTGGGAATTCATTACGTTTATACCTCTATGCTATATATACTTAAGGGTCTAGCAAATAATCCCTGCAACACCCCTTTAAACCACCTTGTAAGATGCTCGTTTATTAACTCATGAATATTTCATAATATAATATATTTATGTATATATGAATAAGCTTATACCTTTTGATCTACGTGAAACTTTATTCACTTTTTATGTATTTTCTATATAGATTTCTGAAATATTATATTATATTGACAGTAAATATTTGAGATGGTCTTCTATTACATATTATTTATCATTTCATTAAAAATACATTATGTATATCGGTATTAATAATTTTATATGTATAATAAATAATTATTAATAATACCTACAGGTAAAATAAAATAATATATACACCTTAATTATTCTATAACTGCATCTCAATACATATACCAATTTGAAGTTATTTAGATCTTTATTCAATACAAGTATATAATATTTATGCATATTAATAAATACTCAAGAATAATATGGATTTAAAAAAGTATTTATGAATCACCTCTTATAAAACATGTTGATATTTCGTCTTAAAGCATAATAATAACAGTGGACAGATTAACCTAACCTATGCTACTGCATGTATAATATATAAATATAATAAAAACTATTTAAGCTTATAATGTACATAAATCAACTATAATCTTAGACAATAATTCTATAAAACACATAATTAATTAATAAACCAGTCTAAACTGCTCGCACTAAACTATATATACTACATAATTTCATATATTTCATATAGTTACCTATACATAATATATTTGATAAAACTAGATAATAAAGTAAGATGTAAAAACCATATTATATTATTATTTTATGTATTATTATACTATTATTGTTTAATAAGAACAAAATAAATCGTTAATAATGACAATACTCGACTACCAACATACTTTGTAACGAAAATTATTATTAACGTATGTATAGTGACTGATGATAAATATATACAAATTTTGAATTTCAAATGCATAACTATTGTTTTGTATCGAAATGTCATTTATCTGAACTAACTAAACTCAATATGGTAATCGGTGTTGTAGAACGATTTCTTCTATAACTGTTTTCACATATTAATAGTCATCACTCATCAATGATGTATCGTAAAATAATAATATATTACGTCTCCAGTAAATACGGCTTTACAGTAAGTACGACCTAAACACAAAATTTTGTATTCTCTGATTAATATTGAGACTAGAATATTGGGGCTTAATAATTATTATTTAGAATTTATTTACGCTGCAACTGCACGTCTGCATAACGGCGAAGCGTATACGAAATAGTGTGGATCAAGTACAGTAGGTTCCAATTATAATTTAGATGACAGGACGTATGTACATACATACATATATATATAACCAGCAATATATATTAATGTACCCTCTCAGCTATCAGACACACACACACACACACAAGCGCACATTGTTCATGCCAGTCACAAAGCAAACACTATATTATATATAGCCGCGCCTTGTCAACTACAAATGGAGCGTGCGATATGGGTTCCGAGCTTTTTGTGCGCGCATTATCCAGAGACGATTTTTGACAGGTTTTTGCCGAACATTGTGAGAGAAAAGGGGGGTTGGGGGGTTAAGGAATCGATAAACACCCTGTACATATAATAATAATATATTCGAAGACACGTGTCGGTGTAAGAACAAAAATGCGCTAGTGCGTTGCAGCGTATGTATAATGTATGTAATTGCGTGATATACTTATTGTTTATGTGATCTTGTATACAAATGTTCGCATGTCAGTATATAATATTATATTAAAAGCACATATTCGGGAAACAATTTGTACCTACCTAAGAAATAATCATATTAATTTATGAATAATTCATACAAACTTCAAAATACAATCATGGAAATATGTTGTCTTATTATTGTAATACAGAAAAAATTAAAATGGCTACACATATATAACGTAATGACTTTATCCTAAGTTATTGTTTTGGATTAATCGCCATTTATAATATTATAATTTATTAGTTAATCCTACTCTAAGGTGAATTTTTAACAAATATACGATAGTATGATATTTTTCATTTTTGTAACAGTGTGTAAGACAGAATATAATGTCCGACCTTTCATCGTTTGCGATCCATACATAATATAATATTTTGTTTCAACCTAAAAATCGGCCATTAACTTACGTTTTACACTATTAAAAACTATTTTTTATAAGTGAACAATGATTTTAGTTAAATTCAGTCTAACAAAGTTACATTTAAATGCATAGACTGAACAAATAAACCAATCTCTAACTTATTGTAATGTAATATATAATTTAGCAGGCAATAATAATTAATAATTGTTTAGAATACAATCGTGTACAAATTTAGTTGATAAATTTTAATCCTATACTGTAATTTGTAGTCATTTAAATGTATTTGTAAACGAATATAAATGCCTTCCAGATTAATAACTAATAATAATAGGATATTTATATTACAAATACAAAATTTTATAATATAATTTCAAAAAATTTATAATGGGTATACAGAATAATTATTTACGTTTTTAATTTTAATTTTAAAAGCCACGCCGGAATTTAAATAGTAAATATCTACAGTAAAAAAAATAATAAATATTGATAATAATTACTAAGAAAATTTTAAATTATTAAAATAAGTCCATTTATATTAAAATTAACACAATATTATTTTTTACATTTTTAAGTTATTAGATATTTTAATTTAAAATTAGACAATTGGATATAATATACTAACTTGGAGAATATCTTATCTATCTAAAAATAAATAAATAGATAATAAAGATTAATAAAGTCTTGAAAGTTATTAAATAAAGTTTAAGATTGTAATACAACTATTTTACTCAGGTTTTAGAATATAAAACCATACTCAGCTTTAATTGAGATTTTTAGACAATAAAATTACAAGTACTATAAAAAATTTTAGTATTTTTAAAGGATTTTTTAAGATTCCGATTATAATTTTTTTTTTAAGTAAAGAGGTAATAATAAATCTGCAATATAATATACTCTAATATACTTAAGGAAGTGTTAACATTTTTTATTCCGAGTAACTTATAAGATTATCGTTTTAATATTTTCAATACTTAAATATGTTTTAATGTTTACTATTGGGATTCATACTTAGGAACTTTGAAGAACAGTTTAAAAGTTCAATGAATAACAAATGTACTTATTGTAACAATCAATATTATTCTTTATATTACTAGACCATTTAAAAATTATCATATTGAGAAATTATACTTACAAAATTATTCAACCATTTTATAATTATTTTTTTCTTTTTATTTAAGAAGAGATTATAATATTTTTCTATTATTTAATAATTATATTTTTGAATTTACTTGCAGTTGCAAAAAATAGTATAACCATTAAAATATCGTGATAGCTGGTATACATCGCTGTATATGTTACTACATCTACATTTTATATTAATAAATAAATAGGATATAGTTATTTAAGACTTTAACAATAGAAAAAATCATTAATTAATAATACAAATATGAAAAAAACATTGAATTTGTGAAAATGAACCCATTACTTTTAATATTGCAACTAATTGACTCATTTCTATCTAAGTTTTTACTATAAAATATGAAATTATATGATCTCATCTCATAATATTTGTTTCATAACAAGACATCTTTCACATTTATTTTTTACCAAAAAAAAACTTTGATTTTCATTAATGCAAAATCAAAATCATTTTAGTTCAATATTTTTTTCTTTCAATTGAACTGTTATGTACCTTTATTAAAAAATTACTATTTTTGTTATTACACATATAAATTTCGTTACCGTTATATATAATAAAAATACTACCTATTCACAATGTCTTGATTTCTCACGTCTGATTTTAATATTAAGACAAACATTCAAACCTAAAGAAAAATGTACAATTATCCCACGAGTTCCGCTCAACGTTTTATATAAAAAAAAAAAAAAAAAAAACAATATGGTCGTGTTTGACAGACCTTGACGAGCACAATTTATTTTAATGGCCGCCCCTTCGTACATAGCCCACATCAATAATTCCGCATTTCCTTTTCCATCGATTCGGCAACATGGCATGATAATAATATTTATGGTATAGACGTAGGTATAATATATACTTATATATATATTATATCATATCATATTTGCATATTATATCACAAAAGACACACGTTAACAACCATGGTGGTTCGGTTATTGAAAACCTATTTAGTATTTACAATGTGCGTGAAACCACATTATACAACATAATACAAGACGCGCGATCGAATAAAGGATATCCGGACGGGTATTGCATTTTTCGTCCGCGATTGACTCATCCGGCACCTTTCGAGTGGGCGTTTCACGTACGTATTGCCACCGATTTTTTGAATGAACAAAAATGATTATCTGGTCGACAAATCGAGAAATGCGGCTATTATATTATTATTATTATTTTATTGTGTACACGAAATAACGCGTTGAAAGGTTCTTTTTAAAACGCATTATAGCAGATATACCTGCTGCAGTGATCTTAACATTCTACTACATCATTGCTGCATCGTCGTGGGTGTCCCCCGTCCAGAGGAGTGAAAGAAAAAAAATCCCCAGTAGAAAAGATAATATTTTGATAGCTTGATTGCTATCGGACGAGGGAGAGGGTTCGTTTATATACGATTGAAATAAACCAATAACAAGCGCATTGTCGTACGCGCGCGTCCGGGAAGCGTATATTTTTACCTGTTTGTCAAAACCAAAACTACGTCAATGTTTTTCTAAGTTTCCGAAGCCACGATGTATAAAAAATTTTAATGAGTCTTCCCCACCTACCCCTTTCCACAGTCGTCATCTCTCGTCCCCCAAAAGGAATTCGTTTTGGTCGTCATATTTGTATTTGCCAAACATCGGTAGCCGGTCCGTATTATAATACAGGTCCAGCAGGCCTTGGAAATATTTCTTGGGCAAACACTGCGCAAGTTATGTACAGGGTGACAAATATTATTTTAATGCTGAACAGAATAAACGAGACGCACAATAGTCCGTATAACGTGCTCGAGCACGGTTCATTCATAATATATATTATAATGGACATCATTCGAAAACACACATAAAAAAATGTGCTTAGTAACGTCAAACAGACGTAGCTGGTATATAACTCTAAAACATTATTATGACTATACTGATCGATTTTATTGTTACTCGTATGATATGGAGGTCATATAGTATTATTTAGACGTTCGATTTATAGCCTTGTTAGAGTTAGAATATTCTCACATGTCTAAATGCACAAAAGCATACAGTTAAAACACGATTTTATTATTTTGATAGACAATTTTTTTATTCAAACAGATTTCATTATGATTTAAAAAAATAATATACTACTTGGCTTAAAATATTTGATTTTATATACACCTAAATATTTAGTGAATTAATTTAATGTGTGCAAAATAATGTACTTTTGTTGAGTTTTAAAAATGTTAATTAAATGTTTTAATACATTTTACACACACTTTTGCACCTTGTAATATTAATACAAAATTTTGATTACTAATATGTATTAATACTATTTATGTGTAATTAGTTTTTATATTATAATTAATAATTTAATTCGTAATAGTAAATTTTACATAGGAATAGGAGTAAAAATTACTACCGCTAATAATATATACATATATATTTTAGAATTATATAATTTGTTCTATTTTAGTTAAACAAAACAATTTTAGAAATTAAAAATGCTATGATTTATAATTCACATTTATCTACTAATAGATAGCAATGCGATATAAATACATTGATATGGAAATTTAGTTAAGAGTAATTTAACTTAACTGAAGTTTTATAAAAATTAATGGTTTTCGTGCATGTATATATTATAGTGGATAATAATAAAACGTTAATTTTAATTTTAATTAGTTAAAAAATATATTAAATTGATTTCATAGAGCATTATAAACAAGATAATTAATTAATAAATGAAAATATACTAAAAAATGTTAATACCCTTGTAACATATGATTATATTATTTAAATCACTACGCATGAGATTAAATAGATTTTAGCAAAAGTCAATGAACAAGAATTAATTATTAATAAACCATCAATAATAATTTTATAGTTTATAATTTTTGAATAAATTTAAGCCCCTATATAAAAAAGTCTACATATCAAAGTCTTACATGTATATTTTTCAATTTCTATAAAACTCGATCGTTAACAATCACAAATTAGAAAAGGTATAATTTAAAATAATATACATACGTATCAATTGATAATAACTATAGTATTGAAAAAAGTATTAACTATACATATAACACATACTATATGCACAAAGTAGATGATTAACCTTATCCTATTTTAGTCATTGGTTCATAGTGTTAACGTATTTATAGAATGTGAAATGACGAGAGCCGCCCATAAAAAACTTCAGGCAGTCGATCAAGACCAAAGAGTATGTGGGGATGTCCGATTTTGTAGTAGGTTCATAATAAAAAGAGGGATAATGACATTATAACGACTGTTGTAATAACCGGTTAGATAATGTACATCCCGCGGCAAATGTTTTGCGGAAAAAGGGGTTCTCGTATAAACGGCTCCCGGTCTAATCCAATATGACACCCTGAATGCACACCCCCAGCGTATTTTACGGTCGCTTGGGCATGTTTATGTGAAAAAACATAAACATCCTTCGATAAGCGATAATAAATCTTGATAGGTCTAATTTGAAATAAAAAGTGTGAATATATACATTTAATGATATAGATTAATACAAAATATTAACAATATTTACATAGATAAAATAACTGATATTTTTAAATAATAAGTATAGGTGGGTAGGTATTTTTTTTTTTTTTTTTAGCAAATTATTTATTTATTCTATTACCAAATGCATTATAATGTATGCGTATATAAATGCATGTTTTAATAATACTTAAAATATAAAAAAAAATTAAGAGAGATACCTAACATCTTTAAAAAAAAAAATTTGCGTTAATATATCACTATTAATGCATAGGTACTTTTTACTTTTTACTTTTTATTTTTTATTTTTATAATAATTAATTTACTTTTCATACATATTATTTTTAAAATAAGCTTAATATACTTCTTTAACACAGTTATTTATATACTAATGCATAATTATTAATTTATTAAATAGCTTTAAGAACCTTACACATTTAGCGACACACATTTTGTAGTTAAAATGTGATTTTTCAATACTTGAGTATATTCAATAATATACAATTATATATAATTATTGTGAACCATATTATATAAATACGCTATGATGTCATAATTTATTTTATGTTATTCATTGATGTCGTAATAAATGAGCATAATTTTTTTAAATTTTTAAGTACTTTATGACATACTTGTGCACATAATATATTAAAATATCAGCATAATGCTAAAAAATAACTTATTAGATACAATATTTTTAGCAAAAACTCTTATAATTTCTTTGCCCTATATAGTAATAAGTTATTTAATATCTAACTGTTAAAATAAATAAAGTTACATAAAAAAATAACTTAATATTGTGTGCTATAGTCAAACTATTAAAATTTAGTTGTGAGATTTTAGAAAATGATCATTTAACTATAAAACAATAGTCTTTAATCACTAAACACTAAAGTTATAAAAGTTTTATAATTATTAACTGCCTATAATATTTTATAATAACCTCATTAAGTAAGACTACCAATAAATATATTACGCATAAATGTATAATTGTAGTACTTATTAAGAATTTCGTCACATTTATATATGTAGATAGTTTTAAAAATTATGTATAATATGTATTACTTGCTATATTATATTATCGGAATTTTTGTTTTAATTTCAAATATCGACAACAAAAATTTATTTGTAAACCGTTCGTATTGTATATATTAATTAAAAAAAATTTAAAAAAATTGAAAATCTACTGGTATTTTATTAAGAAGAAAATTTAAAATCTGACTGCCAAATATTTATTTAATTTTCGCTGGCTTTTGAAAATAATTTCATATCTCTCAGGTAAAATAAAATATTCTAACTTATAATAACAGTTTTCGAATCGGTCAGTCATCGTACCACTACTAATTTGAATCGTAAATTTATGCTTATACTATAATTATATAATATTAACCTACTTGCAAATCGTGGATCGTTAGCGGGTGCCCCGTACCACGTGGCCGAATTGCCGTATGACGTGACCATGTCGGGTTGACAATATTGAGGCGGTGGCGGCGGTGGTGCCGGGAATTGCGGATGCACATGCCAACTGGCCGCGGCCGGAACCGCTCCTGGGACATTATTATTGTTGTTATTGTTGTTGTTATTACCTCCACCGCCGGACATGGCTCCTGGGCTTCCGGAAGCACTTCCACCGGTGCTACCGGCTGTACTGGACCTGTGGTACGGGGAAGGCGAACCGCACAGTTCAAGCTTACGGTACTCTTCGATTGGACTGAGTATGTCGGTAACAGAGAATGGTGTCGTGTGCGCAGCGTGATGATTGTGGTGATGATGATGGTGCGGTTTAGGGCTCAGCGACATCGCTAGGTCCGCACTGTTGAGCTCCGGCAGCAGGTCGCCCGAGCTCTCGGAGAACACGGCTGATGCCGCCGACGAAGCGGCTGTCACCGAGAGAGCCACTTTCGCGGTTTATCCGAAAAAATTTTACGCAAAAAAACGTTGCGGCCGCGGTCACGCCGAATTTTTTCGCCGTTTTTTATTTTTTGGCAACGGCGGAAAGCAGGAAATCCGGAAATCGACGACTGCACTATCACTTCATCGCGCTGAACGGGTTTTTTCCAAAATTTTTTAAACACGGTCCGCGTATATGGTAACGCGGCCGAGAAAAAAAGGAAAAACAATAATAATAATAGCGCAAAATAAATAAACTCTGAGGCTCTCGTGTGTGGAGCACCACCCGAAACTAGTGTCACTCGAAACTGGACTACTCGACGTCGACGAGAGGACTCGAGGGCCGCACTCGAGTGGCGGAGCCCCTCGGCCCCGCGCGACCCAACCGGCCGTGGGATGGAACCGCGAGAAGGCGTGGCCAACGACGACCAATAGCTGCGGTACCTGTGTCGACACAATGCGAAAGGTTGCGATGAAAAAAAAAAAAAGAGAAAAAAGAGAGAAAAAGAAAAAAAATGTTTTACACTGCAGCGCGCGTATACATGTACGAAGGGCAAAAATCGTAGATAACAATCGGTAGCGATTCTGATGGGATTGGTGGGTGGGTAGAGGGGTAGGGTCGGAGATAAAAACAGTTACCGGGCGCAATAAAAATAGCGATATTTCCGGTCGCGTATAAACCTTTATTATATGTATATAATATAGGTGTACGTGGTATACATATGGGGCATAACAATCCTATGTATAAAATAAATAAATACTCGAAGGGCACAGGATTGGTTTTGATATGGCACTCCGAGCCGATGGGAAATGTAGGATTTTAAGAGTGGAGGAGGCTCTCGTGCGCGCTAGAAGCATCATCGTCTCAAAGTAGCATAATCAATTACACGCAAAACGAGTACTGGCGAGAGGTACTTATCACCACGAAAGACAACACCATTTGACTTAGCCAAGTGCATCACATTGCCTCCACCATATATACCATATTATACTATGCTTGCTGCACTCTCTTCAACTATATACACACACACACACACACATATGTATGAAGAATCCTAAATCGGTTAACCGAAAGTCATGTCGATATGATGTATACTTATATAGGTGTATGGTGCATATTATTATATTATTATAATGTGTATTGTGGCATATGTGTACTTATCTATAAGTACGCTGCATATAGGTATCAACGTGAGACGGAAGTTTCGATTTACATTCAACTTGCACGGGTTTGCAACAGGATGGCTTGTATAAAAAATAATTTTGAACAGTGCTCGATAAACATCAAAGCAAATTTCACAACAATAATTCAAATAACACATTCAAACCTCACTGATCTCAACTCGTCTTATAAGACTCGTTATAATACATAATACCTACTATATACACAACATACACGTATGTCGTATATACCTACATAGCTATACGCCTATGCCTTATAACGTTATATATAGGCATATAATGATACGTATATTATATATACATTAAACACGTTATATAATGTTGTAGATACAATAATAGTTTTACATGTGTAGGTATACGGGAAGTAATTTGAAATATACCTAATATGTTAAACAAGTATAATAACAAATATAAGTACAATTTTTAAAATACAGAATATTTAGATTACAATCGGGACCCGTTGAGATCAAACTGTATTACTTACGTGACATATTTCTCTCAATGTAATCAAACTCAGCAAAAACAAGTGCCATAAATAAATATATATATATATATTATATTGCCAATTTTTAATCAAATATTATTACGTATTATAGTCTTGAATAATTATAGCTTTGAGTTTCTTTATTTATTATTTTGTGGTAAGTTTAAAATGTAATTGGGAATTTATTAAATAACATGTGGAAATATGATTAATATAGATATCTGGTAGAATCGGTAGATGTATAGTATATATATTGATAAAAAGAGACATCAATTTAATGAAAACAAAATTTTTTTTATTTATCCTATTTAATTGTATAATCAAATTATCTATTTGATGCAATGCGTTATGGGATAAATCGAATTGCTTGCCTGTGACAAATACAAGGCGTAACACTACTATACTCAAACGTTCTTTAATATTTCTAAATTTTCCTTAAAAATAGAAGAGTGAAACATCGAATTTTGGGTAAGAATCGTTTATTGAATGCAATATAGTCAGTTTTATTCTATTTTCAATACATTTCATACAAATACAATATATAACTCCAAGCTATTGTAAAAACTAAAAGTATAGAATATTGCATAGGTATTCACACTTTTTGTTAAAAAGATTTTCATTAAACGAAACATAATAATTTATTTATAGTTTCATTATATTCAACGAAATGTTATTATTTTAGTAGCAATGATATTTTATATTTATTTAGTGCTGTCTGTACTTTTAATAATACTCATAAGTCTTAATTTTTTCTCATTATAGAAAATATAAAATATACAATATATTATAACAAATATTATTCCAGCCATTAAGTACCTACTATAGAACTAAAGCATTTTTTTCAAAGAGTATAGCAATAACATATTTCAACCTAAATATATTAAAATTAACTTCAACTGTACATATAAAAAAAAATTTCAGAAATCCTTAAGTCAATTTTTTTATCTTGAAGACTTTTATCACAAATCATGATTTATTTTATTCCCCAGTAAATGAATTCTATTCAGAATCATTTCTTAATGCTGATGTATTATAATTTATAGGTGGGGAAGAATTTGAGAGCCCATTGTTTTGAATGTCGAGCATGTACATTTTTAGAAAAACTCCGTTACATCACGGATGGGGGGTATAAAGAACGTTGTTTTTAAGAGTACTCTAAAATACCCCCCTTGAATAATATATTTTCTCCTCCGGACGTGTAATTATTATTGTTAGAACTACAAAACGATAATAAAAATAAAAAAAATACCTGGTGCAATATCACTAATCGACGAACGGAATGCATTGTGGTGACATTGAAATGGACTTTCGAGTGGCTCTGTTATGTTATTATTTTTGCAAGGGGGCGCGCGTTTTCAATAAACCTATTCAACCATAGTTGGAGTTAAAACTGTCAAATCTATATGAAAATAAAAAAACCGAATTTCAACTAATTTATTTATATTATGTTATTTATCCTATGTACATTTAACGTTCAAATGTATTCAGGGAAGTTAGTCGAGAAAATCAAGTATTTATATTAGTAGTAAGGAAATTGTGAAATGTCTATGTTATTATCATAATCCATGATACAAGTCATATGATGATTTTAACTCCCTTCAATGTATCTACTTTAAATTGAATTAATGTTTGCAAAAAATAATACCCATTTGGTTTTTTTTTACTAAAAATCCTTTTGAGTACATCGTGTTGATATTGATAAAAATCGTATAAATAAACTGGAATTAGTAAAATACATTTTTTCTATAGTAATTAATATGTTTAAATAATATAATTCCAATGAAAGAACTTAGGATGCTGAAAGCCCCATTTTTTAATTAGTTATATGAACATAAATATTATATTATACGATGAGTAACTTCATTATATTTATATCACATCAATACTATTAACATAAAATAAGAAATAATTAATCAAAAATAATATACACTATAATGGAATCTGTAAGTTCATGTAATAAATTATTATTTATCACTTAATTACTAATGAATCATAAGTCACTGCAATGAAAAATATATTTAAATTTTATTCATCTGATATTTATCTAAATCAAAATTTATTGGTCTTTATCTATAGATACTTTGTAACATATTAACTACCTTTAACTTTATATTTTTACACAAAATATAATACCATTCTAAATTTTAGTTATTTTCAGATAATAATAATATACAATATACAAGATACAATAAAAATCATTAATTACACTACCTATACTACTATTATATAAGTATATATAATTAATGTAAACATTTATAAAAAAAAATAATGAAAAATGATTTTTTAATGTAATAATAATGCCTATAGAACATAATTCAAATTTTTTGAGATGTATAAAAGCGAAAGAAAAACAATGGTTTAACTTTCAGCATTTTTAACACTTCTAAATGTTAACCAAACCAACAAAAGATACAAAAAAAAAATAAATAAATAAATACTTAACTTAGGCACGCATAGAATAAATATACTCTAAATAAACTAACAATTTTTTATCAATATTAATAGAAATAATAAATTTAAAAAAAATCAAAAATTTCTCATATCTTTAAATTTTAAATATAGCTCAAAAATAGTCGAAATATTTTGAAAATTATACTATATGTATAGAAATTAATAATATAAACATTAGATGAAAATTTCAAGCATCTTCGGTAATTCATTCTTGCATTATAATAAAATAAAAAAAATAAATTTCCTCTTAGTACTAACTAAATACAACTTTTTACAAGAAACCACTCTCAAAATCAAAAACCTATGCATTTTTATTGTCCTAAAAAATAATAACAGGCACATTGTAAAATCAGTATTAATTCATAGCTCTCCGTTCAGAATCTAAAAATGACCCGAAAATCCTAAAAAATTTAAAATAAAAGTTTTACTTTTGAAACATCAATTACACGAAAAAAATTATGCACTTAGAATGCATTAAACCCGTATAGTACACAAATAATATTATACTATTTGCATTGAACTTCGGGCTCTAATTCTCTAATAACTACATTATTGTATATTTATATAATATAGTCATATAGCCTATAGAGTATAGGTATTATATTTTATTATTTCACGAAACACCACTTCATACATTATAAGTTATAAGTTCTAACTTTATGAAGTTGACTATTTAAAATATGTATTTATTTAATTCTTAATTATTTAATTAAACAATCTATACACTTTTTATAGAGTTAAATTATATAGAGAAAAACGTACATGAGTCTTAAATGATAATGAAGAAGGTTTGATAGAAAGGTTTTATTGAAGAAATCGCCCTCTGACAACATTTCTTAATTTAAATATAATTAAACTTTTAATTTTTTATGTCCAATCACGTAAACTGCAACAATAAGTTTATACCTAATAATATAATATGCGTTATTCGTCCAACTAGTTTTGCTTGTTTTGAAGGGTGATTTAGATTCTAGAGTGTCCATAACCCACGACCCATAAACGCAGATTAGACACACTGCATTTTATATATATGCGACGGGTCCGACCTTTTGTTTCCGCATCGTGGGGCAAGGAAGATTAAAGTCTTTTGAACCGTTTTATTGGCCACTTCACCTGCCGTTGCTCTACGTCGCTATAATATTATATTGGAATTGTTTCGAATTCACGGCGGATTATACACCAAATTTCCCCCGCGCATTGTTCCTGTT